GAAGATATATATTTTATACTTTAATTAAAAAATTAAAAAAACAATTACAAAATCAATTATTTTTTTGAATATAAAAAGAAAATTTTTTATTAAAATAATTGTGGATAAATTAGTTCTTTGGCTAATAAAGAAGTATTTTTAACATGTATTGTAATAGATTTTATGAATTTATATATTGATAAAAAAATGAATAACAGTTCATAATTCATTTTATTAATAAAATTATTAGAGAGATCATTTTTAAAGATCTACTTCACAATATTAAATCCAATATTTTAGGTTAAAAAACCATATAACTATAATATGAGATATAACTACAAAGTATTTATATAAGATTTGACAAGATAGATGTAAAGTTTTTTAAAATACAAAATTAATATAAAAATTATCAAAAAAAAAAAAAAAAAATCAAGCAGATAAGATTTTGTTTTCATATAAATATACTGTATATATAAGATCAATATATAGCATTGATTTATGAATTCATAAATCAATGATAATATATATTATAAACAACTTTATGTATTTGAAATTTCTTTTAGTACTAGTTCAACATTAACAGGTTAGCTCCCTGTAATGAAATGGTAAACAGTAGCAAGGCGGGTATTTTAATATTTCTATTGACAACATATTATTATATACTGTATAGCCTTGATGATATTTAATTGATGTCATCACATCACTTGTTGATGTCAACATTTACAGTATACTGTATCTTTAGATTCGTTTTAGCAAGATTATTGATTACATTAGGTATGCGTACAGTATAAATTTATATCATATATACCTACAACTAAATACGAAGTTTGATTACACGAAAATTAATTCACAACGAATTACAGTACATACAGTGTGATGAATGAGCCTTTAACTAATTCGGTAAACAATTACTTTTAACCACTTGATTCGATCATAGTTTTGGTTCTCACACGACAAATTCGTGAGTGGTTTCTTCCATTTCAAGCCAAGACAATGACCAAACAGACCAATGGAAAATGGGAGTCCTTTAGGATTACGTATGCAAGAGAGAAAATAACCTTTTTTTTCCCTGTGCCAGATCCCATTGTTTCAGGTTTATGTACAGGAGTAAACCAATAAAATTTTAAAATGCAGCTAGTCGTTTCGACTCTTACGTAATGTGCATGTGATAGCTCGACTGTGTGATACATATTTATCAAATTAACCAAATTTATACGTATTGACAAAATCGTGTAATATTGAATATGAACATTTGTTTTCAAAAAGGTCTGTGTATCAATTTTCCGTGCGAAAAACAATGGAGTCAGGGACCGACAATAAAATGTGTACTTTAAGAAAACCAATGATTTTATTATAACAATAAAAACTCTCACTTGTGATCTTGGTAAAATGGTAATGCAATTATAAAATTTAATCAGGTTGTCATACTGCTAATAAATTCTCTTGGTGAAAGTAAAAAATAAGATAATATACGTATGGAGTTGATTATGACCAATTGAAACTCCGATTAATTGGTTTTGGCGTTGAAATTACATGAGCAATACTTAATCATCGCACTTGATTATTTCAAAATCTTTCGTATAGTGTTTTTAGATTCTTATGATCGCATCGCTAAATTGCTTAAAGTAAAAACAAAATACAATATTTGAGGCAGTGCTTGGTTATCAATTGGGATGTTCGTAAAAAATTTTTAATTTTGCAATTTATAGTACATATTATGGAAAGAAATTGCTACGTATTTGCAAAAATAAAATTCGGTTTGTGTCATATTATACAATGTCCAGGGTTCATAGGTACAGAGTTACAGAGTTACTCGATACATACAGTATATACAATACTTTATTGTTAAAGTTGCACGAGAGAATGGACATTGTGGTAACTAGTATGTAACCAATAAAAATTTTTGAATAATCACATTAGGGAAAGACCATTATACGATTCATAACGACTTGCCAAGGTAAACTGAATACGTATACCGAAATCAAATATAAATGCAGCCCGCCCTAGTGTCTGTCTCATTTCTCCAAACATCGGAAAAGAAAAAAACTTCTTATGAAGTTGGTGATCTGATCCAACCTTCGTTATCAACCGTTAATTATATTTCTTAGCATTAATTTAAACTTCTCTTCGTAATTCCCATAACCTTGACCCATTCCCTATTGTCAAAATTTCAACATATTTTTTTTTAATTACGTCATGTCCTTCATTGCAACAACCAAGTCTTGGGACGAAACACATTACGAAAGTCTCTGGTATATTAGTTACGATTTCACACAACATCCAAAATATTTTAAATTATTTGGAAAAAACTTTTTATTATTGATCCCAACAGAAGAATATGTGATCAACCTTTATGGACCCGAAGCGCAAAACTATCGAGCCCACCAAGCCATTCGAGGAATGGGAGAATTCCTTGTGTTCCGAAATTGTGTCAGTTGTGCAATCCAAGCAGAAAGAATTACCGTTAGCATTGAATTTATTTCCAAATTTCATCCGAATTATGGCATTCAACGAGTCCTGAGTTACAGCAAACATTTAAAGATCTTTCGGAAAAATTAAAAGAAAAATTTAAACATACGACCTTTATTTCATACTCTCCAAGCCCTTACGCGTCGATGCAATTGTACTCACCACCAAAAGAACTGTCCTGGTCTGTTGTGACGTCGGAAACTTTTGGAAATGAGACTTGATTTTCTTATAAACAATAATCTATAATATAATTATGTGGTAAAAAACCAAAATATCATAATTTCATCTAATTTAATAACCAAAAAAACCAAATATTATGAATTTTTATTCATACCTTAAAATATGAACGATTATTTAAAGAAATTTTATATTGTTATCATAATATCATTCTTATCCTACAGTGGTCACTGGAAGGATAATGAGAATAAATTATAAGATAAAAGATAAGATATTATTTTAGTCATTTTTTGTTTCGGCATTTGAAATTATTGGAGTCTTTAAAGAATAAAGTCAAATATTAATATAAGGAAACATTAGTAAAAATTGAAAAAGTCGATTAAAAAATATTCTTAATATTAAACAAAATCAAAAAATATTATGATGATTTACTTTATAAACAGACTTTATTGTACAGTTCTCTCCAACCTTGCGACTTTATATCTCAAGTATAATTTATTTATTTATTTATTTTAAAAAATAAATCCAGAATATAAGAAATTATGAATTAAACTTGCAAATTTGTAAAATTAATATAGTCATTTATCTATAAATTTTATTAACAAGGTATTATTGTTTTATTAATAAAAAGTTTTATATATAATTTTAATTATAACATAATAAAATAATTTCATATAATGCTTGAATAACTATTAATATTGATTTTTATTAAATTTATATTTATTATACTTACTTATTATAATTTCAATAACTAAATACAATTTATGGAATTATAAATAAACTATATGCAAAATCATAATATTTTAAGTATAAAAACTTGAAATAAATTTATTTGCTAAAAAACTTTTATTAATATTAAATTATAGCATATATATAATTATATGAATTTTTAAATATATATTCAAAAAATTTTTTTTGATTTTAATTATTATTTATAAATTCTTGTTTTATATTAAAAAATATAAATAATTTAAATTAATAAAATTGTAGGTAAAAAATTATAATAAATAATTTAAATCAAAAAATAATTATAATTAGTTATATATTTAAGTTATTATATTACAATATATTAAATAAAGTAGACATAAAAATATTTTTCAAAAATAATATATTTTTATTTTTTAAAAAAATTTTATAATATTTAAGCAAATTTTAATAATATTGTACATAAATAAAATTTTTTAAAAAATTATTTTTAAATTAAAACTTAATTACAAAAAATATTGATATTAATCATTTATAATAATTTATTGTGTTTAATTTAATATTATTATTTTTTAATTATTAATTTACAATATTTTACTTATTATTAAATCAATTTTATAAATAAATTATATTTAATTATAATCAAAAAAAAAATAAATATTATTTATATTACTAAGAATTTATAAATTATTAAAAAACTATTGTTATTTAAAGAATTAATTTAAACCTAACTTATAAAAATAAGTAATAAATAATTATTTAATATTATTTAATATGGCAACTTCATAAATTGAAATTTATCTTTTGATTTTTATTAATAAATAAAGTTATTTAAAAAATATTTTTTAATAATTTATCATTAATTAATAATATATAATTATTATATTACAAATTATTTATTATAAAATATATTTAATTCTAATTACAAAAAAATACTTTTTGTTAATTTCTAATCATATATAAAAAATATTTACAAAAAGTTTTTTTTTATTTTTTTGCTAATAAATTTTAATAATTTCTTAAAACAATTTAAAGGTTAAACTCAAAAATCATTTCTATTTTTTTTTTTTTTTATTTATAAATTTCTTTATTCAAAAACTTGACTTTTAATAGTCAAAAAAAATTAAGTAACAACTTTAATATTAGCAGTAAAAAAGTTTAAAAAATAAAAAAAAAACAAATATAAAGTATCTAAAAATCTTTTAAACTTTTGAAATAAGAGATCTATAAAGATTTCTATAGTAAAAAGCCTTATTTTCTCTTCTTTTAACTATTTTAATCCTTTTAAAGCTTCCACTTTTATAGTTTTCTAAAGAATTTTATCTATTTCAATTTGACTTTGAATTTTAGATAATACAAATTATTATTAAAATAATTAAATAACATAAAACATATTGATTTTTTAAATATAAACAAATTTCTATTGATTATATTTATGTATTTTAATAATCTTATTAATAATTAAAAAGAATATTTTAAAATATATATTTTCAAAAAATCAAAAATATTCAAAATAACAAAAAATCAAAAAATAGATAATATGGATTACAAATTATTGTCTCTTTTTAGATTCCTTAGATAATAATAAAACTTTTATAAATAAAAGTTAAGGTCCAAATATTTTTCTTGAGATATTACAATTTAGTATTTACTTAAATAAAAAATTGATTCAATTGACTCATTCAATTCTTTAGATAATAACAAAAAAGGTGTCTTCTAAGATTCAAATAAACCAAGTAAAATATCTTAATATAATTATTCTTTTGAAATAAAAATAGCTTTTTTAAAAAATTTTTGATAAGATCTTTAATTATTTTCTTTTTTCTTTTAACTTATCAATTTATTATTATTAAGTAATTTATAGTAACAAGCTATTAAAAATAAATTTAGAAAATAGAAATATATAATATATTATTTCTTTAAAAAAGTAAAATATAGTTTCTTAAATCGGATTTAGAGCATTTTAATACAATAATAAGTTAATTATTGTATGAAAAATCTATAATATTATACTATAGATAGTTATAGACTTCTATAAGAATTAAATTAAATAACATAATTGCAAATTAAAAAAAAAGATTATATAAAATATATTTTATTATTATACATAATATATATAATATATGTTATTTTCTGATTATATATAAAAAGGATATTTACAAGAAGTTTTTATAATCTTTATTAATTAAATTTTAATACTTTACTTAAAATAACTTGAAATATAACTTCAAAAATCATCTTTATTTTTTTTTTTTATTATTTACAAATCTTTTAACTCAAAAACTTGACTTTTAATAATCAATAAAAGTCAAATAACATCATTAATATTAATAATAAAAAAGTTTTTAAATATAAAAAAGCTAACTGAGAAGTATTTTAAAGCTTTTTCAATTTTTTGAAAAGAAAGATTATAGAGATTTTGTTATTGTAGAAAAGCTTATTTTCTTCTTTGCTAACTATTTGAACTTTCTAGAATTTCATTTTTATAATTTTTTAAAAAATTTTGCTTATTTCAGTTTAAATTCTTATTAAAGATATTAGTTTGTGAAAAAATAAACAAGCTTCTATTGATTATACTTATATTATCTGATAATATTAACAATAATATAAAAAAAAATTCTAGAAAATATTTATTTTCAATTGAACAAATTTTTCAGTAAATAATTATAATATCAAAAGATATTGTAAGAAATAATACAAATATTTTGATTTCCTTTTTTATTTAAATTCTTCAAATAGTAAAAAGATTTTTTTTAAAAAAAAAAGTTGAGGTATTTTATTTTTTTTTTTTTGAGATATCTTAATCTGATATTAAATAAATAATAAATTTATTTGTAATACTACAAGTAATAATAAAGAAAAAAACTTTTTTAAAGTTTAAATGAAATATAAATAATATTTCAATTAAATATATTTCTTTTAAAAAAAAAATAACTCTCTTCTAAAAAATTCCCTATTGTTAAAAAATTTTTTATTAGGCAAAAAACATAATCAAACTCATCCTTGATTATCAAGTAGCAATACTCTTCAAATAATCTTTATAAGGCAATTAAGAGTCTAGTAAGATAGATAATATTGGAATATAATATAGACAGAATCAACAAAAATAATGTTAAAATTATAAAGCTCAAAGTGATATCAATCTATTCCCAACTTAAATATATACTTTTCAGAATCAGGACATCTTCTCTAAAAAGATTATTAGACAAAAAAAAGATAGAGACAATACAATTGAACAATCAAAAGAAATAGAAATAAAAAAAATAATATAGACTATAGAACTAATAAAGAATTCTTCAAGTAGCAGAATATTTTTTCTCCTTATAGTTTATGACTTAGAAGATATGAGTGCTCAAAAAGTATAAAGCCAAGTAGACAGATATCATCAGTTAGGCTGAATACAATTATAATAATTAAAGTAATATATATGAAAGATCACTTGTTTCACCAAATACATAGAATTAACAAAAGATATTTAAATCAAGAATAATATTTATTGATTCAGAACTGATTCCAGAACAAACACGTAGAAAAAATGAAACATATCCCTCTCTGAAATATGTAAACTATAAATTTCCAGTTGAAAACAACAGATTACTACCATTTTTAGTAATCAATATGAAGTATAAAGAGCATATTAAATAGATATTATAGAGAATAAAAATATAAAATGTAGAAGAATTGTTTATTAGGATCTCAATAAAGCAATTTTCATATCATTCTAGTATAATATATTCTCTATTATTTTATCAAAAAAGATCTAACAAATTTTTTGATAAACAAATTAACATTAACTATATAACCTTACAGAAAACTAACTTCTTTCAAATAGCAAATATTATATTCACTAATATATTTGACTATAGGAAAATAAATTAGAAAAAATTACTTATAGGGATTTCTACTTTTATAAAATCTTTTCTATTTATAAAATATATAAAATCAAAGGATAAAAAAAGCATTATAGTACTATACTTATACAACTGTCACTAAGTATGACTGTAGTAGATCTAACAGTTATAATTATAAGTATAAAGATATAATTAGTCTATATCTTTTATAATAATATCAATTAAGTCAAAAGATTTGCCATTTTTACTTTTCAGACTAAAAAAGAACTCTGAGAAGCTAGGTTATCAGTTTCAATAATTAAAGAAACTTAAATATAAT